AAAAAAAAAAAAAAAAAAAAAAAAAAAGATCTGAGAAGGAAAAGATAGAATGGAACGCCGGCACTGTCTCAAGTGACAATGAGACATTTTCACAACGAATAAAAGACACTAAGCCACCATCCAAAAAATCCAAAATAAATTCATTCCTAGACACATTCTAAGATCTTAAAATCCCCAGATAGAAAACACATATTAGCTTCAAAGGAGCAATAGTATCTCACACCTGACTCCATGAAAATAATCAAAGGCAGAAGTCAGCGGAAAGATACCTTGAATAATATCCTCTATGTGCTAAGGGAAAATAACTGTCACCCAAAAACCTAAACCCAGAGAAAATACCTCCTATAAGTGAGGTTGAAATAATGACATTCTCAGTTGGGTGCAGTGGCTCATGCCTATAATCCCAGCACTTTGTGAGGCCAAGGCGGGCAGATCACCTGAAGTAAGGAGTTCAAGACCAGCCTGGCCAACATGGCGAAACCCTATTCACTACTAAAAATACAAAAGTTAGCCAGTCATGATGGTGGGCGCCTGTAATCCCAGCTACTTGGGGATTATAACCTCCGTCTCCCAGGTTCAAGTGATTCTCCTGCCTCAGCCTTCGAGTAGCTGGCAGAGGTTGCAGTGAGCTGAGATTGTGCCAGTGCCTGGGCAACAGAGCGAGACTCTGTCTCCAAAAATAAATAAATAAACATAATAATAATAATAAAAATGACATTCTCAAACAAGCAAACAGTGTTAGCCACCAGTAGACTGTCATTACGGAAGTTCTAAAAGAAATAATTCAGGCAGAAAGAAAGTGTTTTCAGATGGAAGCTCTGTAGATAACACTGAATAAAACAAGTAAAATAAAACAATAAGTTACAGGGTTTAAAGATAAACAACCAAAACCAAAATACATGGTTATACTAACATATAAATTGAAGGACTGAATGGAACTAAAATATTATAAAGTATTTGTGTTATACAGAAAACAAAGATATGAAAGGCAGACCTAGGTAAACCAAGCAAGCATTTTGTAATTATTAGAGAACATACCAAAAACAAAAAAGTAGATTTGTTTTTTAACCTACCAAATAGTAATGAGGAAAAAAACAGAATAAGAAAAAAAACACCCAGCCCATCCAAAAGAAGGCAAGGAATGAAAGAAATAGAAGCAGAGCAGACAGGACAAATAGCATAAAATAAAATGGGAGAAAGATAAATCTAAACATATCATGTATCATAATAAATGTAAATGGACTAAATGACCAGTTAAAAGACAAAGACTATCATTCTGGAAAAAAAAAAAAAATGACACAAAATCCAACCAAATGTTATTTATAAATGTTATTTCTAAAATATAAAAATACAGGAATGCTTAAAGTAAAAAGATGGAGAAATATATACCAGGCAAATTCTAACAAAAAGGAAAATTACCTAAGCTTTACATGTTACAGGGAAAGTTTTCTAGCACACGGTTGGGCAATCTGGGAACAACTCTCAACTTTGTTCTGGTACTAGTATTGTGACTTTAGGACAAGCTGCTTCCCTTTCTGGGCCTGTGTTTCCTCACCTGTGATAGGTAGATAGGACTACACAGTTGCTAACATTTTATAAGTGCAGACAGATACAGGTAAGACTGTGCAAAAAGGCCAAATAGTAGTTCTCAACTGGTAGAGGCAGAAGAACATATCAGAGTCAACAAAGGAGACTTTTTTTTCTTTTTGAGATAGAGTCTTGTTCTGTCGCCCAAGCTGAAGTGCAGTGGCCCAATCTCAGCTCACTGCAACCTCCGCCTCACAGGTTCAAGTGATCCTCCTGCCTCTCGAGTAGCTGGGATTACAGGCACACACCACCATGCCTGGCTAATTTTCGTATTTTTAGTAGAGACAGGGTTTTACTATGTTGGCCAAGCTGGTCTCAAACTCCTGACCTCAGGTTATCTGCCTGCCTCAGCCTCCTAAAGTGCTAGGATTACAGGCATGAGCCACTGCACCTGGCCAAGGGAGAGTCTTCAAAATGCAGATTATCCCTCTCTATATACACATCCATGGACATCGGAATATGGGGTGATTGGGGTGTGTGTATAGAAATGCTCGTTTCCTTTGACTGTGATATTGCCACCTACCTCCTCCCTCATCCTAAAGCATTGAGAATCCCTAAACAGGAAAGAAAAATCTCTGGCATTAAGAATTGGGTATGCTTCTTGCTGCCATGTCTTGTAAAAAAAAAAAAGAAGAAAAAAAAAAAGAATTGGGTATGCTTGGTCGAGAGAGATGGCTCATGCCTGTAATCCCAGCACTTTGGAAGGCCGAGGTGGGTGGACCACGAGGTCAGGAGATGGAGACCATCCTGGCCAATATGGTGAAACCCTGTCTTTACTAAAAATACAAAAATTAGCTGGGCATGGTGGCAGACACCTGTAATCCCAGCTGCTCAGGAAGCTGAGGCAGGAGAATTGCTTGAACCTGGGAGGTGAAGGTTGCAGTGAGCTAAGATCGTGCCACTGCACTGCAGCCTGGGTGACAAAGCAAGACTTTGTCTCAAAAAAAAGAATTGGGTATGCTAATTCTAATTCTCAATGCACTGTGACTCCAAAGGGACCAGTGGAAGAAGAGAAGCAGGAACTGTGGGCTGGGCACAGTGGCTCATGTGTGTGATCCCAGCATTTTGGGAGGCTGAGGTGGGAGGATTGCTTGAGGCCAAGAGTTCAAGACCAGCCTGGGCAGCATAGCAAGACCCTGTCTCTACCAAACAAGAAAGAAAGGAAAAAAAAGCAGGAACCATGGCAGTGTAACTATTGCTGAGGAATCCCAATGCTTGGACAGCTTTGTGACATGAGTTTCCATTGGCAGGAGAAGTTCCCAGGCCCTGGAACTTTCCTGAAGACTATGGATGTCATGGTACTCTTTGGGGGCATTCTTAGTCCCTCCCTGATGCTCATGGAGAAATCCTCAACAAGCTGAAGGAGATGAAGTTATTTCATTCTCCAGTCCTTGCTCTGCGGCCTCTGGGGAAGGAGAGGAGGAGTAGGTGGCTCCTGGGTTCATCTTCAAACTCACCCACATCCTGCTCATGTCACTCAGCTCATTTCTGTATCTCAGAGAGTCCTTCAGGACCTGCAGAGGGGAAGGCACAGGCCGTGAGAGAACGGAGAAGGAAGGAGAGACAAAGGGAAGGAGAATGGAGAGAGGCGGAGGTGAGGCTGGGGCGGGAGGACAGGGTGATGGGAGAGAGCTCAGCCACCTCTAATGGGAACCCAAAGGCCAGGAGAAGGGGGCAGTGTGGGAGAGGACAGCGGCCTCTGTGGCCCAGGCGGTCACTTTCCCCACAAGGGCCCCTGGCTCCCTGCCACCGTACAGTCCCAGGAACTCACGTTCGGGTGTCCATCTCGGAGGAGTTTGTGGAACACATGGCAGAACTTCCAGCAGAGCACTGCGTTGCTGGACAGAGGCAGGCGGTTGACGACAGACCAAAAGGTCTGTGCCCCTTTCTCATGGTGGGTGCCCAGTATGCACGGTGAGGGAGGGTTATGGAAAACAACGACATGGGCCCTGCCTCCTGGGAGCCAGTCTGTACCCAGCCACTGCAGGGGGTCAAGCCTGTACCCAGCCACTGCAGGGGACCGAGGCTGCACCCAGCCACTGCAGGGGTTCAAGCCTGCACCCAGCCACTGCAGGAGGTCATGCCTGTACCCAGCCACTGCAGGGGGTCAAGCCCGCACCCAGCCACTGCAGGGGACCGAGGCTGCACCCAGCCACTGCAGGGGACCGAGGCTGCACCCAGTCACTGCAGGGGGTCAAGCCTGTACCCAGTCACTGTAGGGGATCGAGGCTGCACCCAGCCACTGCAGGGGGTCACGCCCGCACCCAGCCACTGCAGGGGGTCACGCCCACACCCAGCCACTGCAGGGGGTCACGCCTGCACCCAGTCACTGCAGGGGATCACACCATACCCAGCCACTGCAGGGGATCACGCCTGCACCCAGTCACTGCAGGGGATCACACCATACCCAGCCACTGCAGGGGATCACGCCCACACCCAGCCACTGCAGGGGATCACACCCACACCCAGTCACTGAAGGGGACGGAGGCTGCACCCAGCCACTGCAGGGGATCATGCCCACACCCAGCCACTGCAGGGGATCACACCCACACTCAGTCACTGAAGGGGACCGAGGCTGCACCCAGCCACTGCAGGGGATCATGCCCACACCCAGCCACTGCAGGGGACCAAGCAGTTGTGCCAGCTGTGGTTGGCAGTGACTTGGAGGGAGTGCCACTCAGATCTAAGTACCATAGAACTGTACGTTCGTTCTGGGAGTTTTAGGGCAGATGGCAATACTTGTTCTAATAAAATCCACTTGATTAGACAATTTCTCAAGATGGAAGTATCTTGAGAGAGAGGTGTGTCTTTTTCTAATTTGCACAAATGCCCTGTAGGCCAGGGTAGTATTGGGTTGCCCTTTCTGTGAGAATGCTGAGTTGGTGATGGGTCCCTTGGGAATAACGACAGCTATTTGTTGTGGTGGTTGAGATGGGGTCTTGCTGTGTCGCCCAGGCTGGAGTGCAGTGGTGTGATCACAGCTCACTGTAGGCTCAAACTCCCGGGTTCAGGCAATCCTCCCACCTCAGCCTCCTAAGTAGCTTGGGCTATAGGCATGCACCACTATGCCTGGCTAAGTTAAATTTTTGTTAGACAGCTTGCTATGTTGCCAAGGCTGGTCTCAAGCTTTTGGCCTCAAGCAATCCTCCCCTTTTGGCCTCTCAAAGTACGGAGGTTGCAGGTATAAACCACTGTGCCTGGCCTTATGACCCCTAACTTTTTAACAATACTTGAACGGCTGGGTGCGGTGGCTCACACCTGTAATCCCAGCACTTTGGGAGGCCGAGGCAGGTGGATCACCTAAGGTCAGGAGTTTGAGACCAGGCTAGCCAACATGGTAAGACCCCGTCTCTACTAAAAACACAAAAAATTAGCTGGGTGTGGTGGCGGGCACCTGTAATCCCAGCTACTCAGGAGGCTGAGGCAGGAGAATTGCTTGAACTTGGGAGGCAGAGGTTGCAGTGAGCTGAGATTGTGCCACTGCACTCTGGGCAACAGAGCAAGACTCCATCTCTATATAAATAAATGTCCATCTGGCCTCACATGATTTTAAGTTCAGCATCCAGATCTCTGTCATTAGTGAGCCCTTTTTGGAGCGAGGAATTTCCCTTGTCTTTTGTAATTGTGTATTTCCACACGATTCAGTAACTGGGCACTATCAACCGTAAGGCCAACTCTGTGCCCGGACCTTTAAGCTTCCCTCAGCAAGGCTCAGGTCTCAAGGGCAGTGTCATTTAGGGCAGAAAGACTTGCCTCAGGTAGGAAACTAAATGACTCACCCAGAGCACACGTTATTTTGGTTGTGAGCTGGACGATACCACATAGTTTCTTTCCTTGATGACATTTTCATTTAGAGAGGGGTGGGCTTGAACAGATATTTGGGTCTGGAAGCTAAAGTCAGCTTTTGGTATAAGAGTGTTTCTTTCTTTTCTTTCTTTCTTTTTCTTTTCTTTCGAGACAGGGTCTTGCTCGGTTGCCCAGGCTAGAGTGCAGAGTGGCACGATCTTCGCTCACTGCAGCCTCCGCCTCCCAGGTTCAAGTGTTTTTCGTGCCTCAGTCTCCCAATAGCTGGGATCACAGGCATCTGCCACCATGCCTGGCTAATTTTTGTGTTTTTAGCAAAGAAGGGGTTTTGCTATGTTGCCCAAGCTGGTCTCGAACTCCTGGCCTCAAGAGATCTGCCCCGCTTGGCCTCCCAAAGTTCTGGGATTACAGGCGTGACCCACCACACCTGGCCTTGGTGTAGGAGTGATTTCTGAAATAATTTTTGGTTCCACCTAAAGTGCAGCCCCTACAGACTGCAGGAAGCAGTGAGGAGAGACTGGCAGCCCCCAGCCTCCCACACTCACTTCTCCCAGCAAACAGGGATTACTTTTCCTGAAAGCAGCCTCCTAAACAGAGCTAGCCAGGCACCCTGGCTTTATTTTATTAAATTTAAATTACTTTTCTTAATTTATTTTTTAAGAGTCTCCTTCTGTTGCCCAGCCTGGAGTGCAGTGGTGAAATCATAGCTCATTGCAGCTTCCAACTCCTGGGCTCAAGTGATCCTCCCTACTCAGCCTCCCAAGTAGCTGGGACTATAGGCATGCACCACCACACTCAACCAATTTCTTATTTTTTGTAGAGAGGGATCTCGCTATGTTGCCCAGGCTGGTCTTGAACTCCTGGGTTTATCTGATCCTCCTGCCTTGGTCTCCCAAAGTGCTGAGATTACAGGTGCAAACCACCGCACCTGGCTGAGACACCCTGACTTTCAAATGGGCAAGGGGACCTTCCTGGCATTCTTTCACATTATAAGCATTTGTATGCCCCAGTTATGTGTCAAAGACTGTAAAATGCATTCAAGGAGAAAAAAGAAAGAAAATAAGAAACATAAGACTCAGTCCCCAGCCCTCAGGAGTGAGTATCAAGGTGGCGGGCCAAACTGTTCAGCATTTGGGCATCTGTCATAAACGTCTAAGCAGCATGTCTGAAGTCAGACTTCCTAATGCTTATTTAGTTTGTATCTAAGGCAGCTGACAAGACTCGATAATACACAAAGGGGCTGAGCGCGGTGGCTCACGCCTGTAATCCCAGCACTTTGGAAGGCCCAGGGGGTGGACTGCTTGAGCTAGCTGGGAGTTCAAGACCAGTCTGCACCACAGCAAGACCCTGTCTCTGTAAAAAATTAGCCAGGCATGATGGTGTGTGCCTATAGTCCCAGCTACTTGGGAGGCTGAGGCGGGAGGATCACTTGAGCCCAGGAGTTAGAGGCTGCAGTGAGCCTCCAACTGATTGTGCCACTGCACTTCAGCCTGGGTGACAGTGTGTGACCCTGCCTCAAAAAAAAAAAAAAGAAAAAAGAAAAAAATCTTAGGGATATCTTTAACTAGGCGTTTAAAACTCCACAGTATGGAGTTGATTTTTCAATGTTTATTCACCATTTAGAAATTGTGAATCAGGGACTAATAGAATGCTAAAGCTGGATTCTTAAATCTTTCAAAAAAAAATTTTTTTTTTGAGACTGAATTTCGCTCTTGTTGTCCAGGCTGGAGTGCAATGGCATGATCTCAGCTCACCACAACTTCTGCCTCCTGGGTTCAAGTGATTCTCTTGCCTCAGCCTCCCAAGTAGCTGGGATTACAGGTGCCCACCACCATGCCCAGCTAATTTTTGAATTTTTAGTAGGATGGGGTTTCACCATGTTGGCCAGGCTGGTCTTGAACTCCCGACCTCAGGTAATCTGCTTGCCTCCACCTTTCAAAGTGCTGGGATTACAGGCATGAACCACCGCACCCGGCCTGAAATCTTTGTCCAACTCTTTGATCGAACAGAAAGTGATGTAAGGCTCATGGAGGCCCCACTCAAGGTCCCAGAGTGAGCCTGAGAGTTCCAGGACCTTGCAGGATCCCTTCCCTCCTCCCAGGAAGCCTCCCTGGCAGTGTGTGACCTGACCTTCCTGCTGTAGGCCTGGCCTCTCTGCCCCCATGTCTTGTCCTGAAGAGCATGCTGCCCAATGACGACTCTCTCCCTTGCGCATATCTTTTGTTTTATTTAAGACGGAGTCTCACTCTATTGCTTAAGCTGGAGTCCAGTGACATGATCTTGGCTCACTGTAACCTCCGCCTCCTGGGTTCAAGCAATTCTCCTGCCTCAGCCTCCTGAGTAGCTGGGACTACAGGCACGCGCCACCACGCCCAGCTAATTTTTTGTATTTTTAGTAGAGACGGGGTTTCACCATGTTGGCCAGGCTGGTCTTGAACTCCCAACCTTGTGATCCACCCACCTCGGCCTCCCGAAGTGCTGGGATTACAGGCGTGAGCCACTGCGCCTAGCCCCTCACTCATATATCAGACTGATCACAAATTATTAGTAGGTCAAGGCTGTGTCATTTCCTCTGAGAAAATCAACTGAGCCATTTAAAATAAAGGCTTTTTCTTGGTTTGGTTTGAATCATTGCAAGGGTACCAAACGTGATAGAAGAAAGCAAGGGGCCTGTGTCTTTCTGGGGGAAAAAAAAGAGTAAGAGCCAGCTAGGCTTGCTGTAGGGATAGACTTCTGGGTTAGCTTAGAGAGGTTCCGCAGCCCCCATCCTAAATCCAGCCAAAGCATCTTCCTGCTAACGGCGAGCTGCTTTCCCTCTACCAAACAGTTCACATGCCGCACTAAGCAATGCTGGGCTTCTCCGGCTATCTAACCTGGAGGGTTGGTCGCCTCCATGGGTTTGGGACAAGCTGCTCTGTCCCGATGGCTTTGGGACACACTGCTCTGGCCTGCCTCGCTGCAGCACAGCCACCAAGAGCCCAGGTGAGGAGGAGCTTCCCATTGCAGACAGAAGTCCAGCCTCCGAGGCTGGGTGCGGTGGCTCATGCCTATGTAATTCCAGCGCTTTGGGAGGTCAAGGCAGGAAGATGGCTTGAGCTCTGGCATTTGAGAACAGCCTGAGCAACACGGTGAAACCCCGTCTCTACCACAAATACCAAAAATTAGCCAGGGGTAGTGATACACACCTGTGGTCCCAGCTACTTGGGAGGTTGAGGCAGGTGGATCGTTTGAGCCTGGGAGGTGGAGGCTGTAGTGAGATCACGCCACTGCACTCCAGCCTGAGCGACAGAACAAGACTCTGTCTCAACAACGACAACAACAACAAAAGAGGCTGGGCGCAGTGGCTCACGCCTGTAATCCACGCACTTTGGGAGGCTGAGGCGGGCGGATCATGAGGTCAAGAGATCAAGACCATCCTGGCCAACATGGTGAAACCCCGTCTCTACTAAAAAATACAAAAATTAGCTGGGCGTGGTGGTGTGTCTGTAATCCCAGCTACTCAGGAGGCTGAGGCAGAAGAATTGCTTGAACCTGGGAAGCAGAGATTGCAGTGAGTGGAGATGGAGCCAGTGCATTCCACCCTGGGCAACAAAGCAAGACTGTCTCCAAAAAAAAAAGTCCGGACTCCGCTTGCCCGGAACTCCTCCTTGCTCTGGCCCAGCACACTGAGAGTTAAAAGCTTAGCCACCCCACTGGCAGCCTCTCTCCTTCAGCCTTTGGGGATTAAGCTCTCCAGCTCCAGGATTCTGCCACTCAAAGGCAGAGCCCTAGGGATTCACCAGCCAGTATGGTCCTGCACCTTTCTACAAAGCCATAGGCTACTCCTATGTGTGTGGGGTTTACCAAAGGGCTCTCAAGTCACCGGTTCCCTAATCCACTTCAAGGCTCTTGTCTTCTGTCCTCTGGTATAGATTGAATCTGTTCATGAAGGTAGAGACCCTGCCTCGGTTTAAGGTCAACCAACCACTGAAGCTAAGACTTTCTTTTTTCAGCCTGGCGTGGTGACTCATGCCTGCAATCCCAGCACTTTAGGAGGCTGAGGTCAGGCGTTCAAGACCAGCCCGGCCAACATGGCAAAACCCTATCCCTACTAAAATTACAAAATTAGCAGGGTGTGGTGGCACACGCCTGTAATCCCAGCTACTCAGGATGCTGAGGCACAAGAATCACTTGAATCCAGGAGGCGGAGGTGGCAGTGAGCTGAGAACATGCCACTCCCCTCCGGCCTGGGAAACAGAGTGAGACTATCTCAAAAAAGAAAAAAAAATACTCTTTTTCTTTCTTTCTTTCTTTCTTTTCTGCTTTCATGCTCAGAAAAGGAGATGATTATTGATTGTCTCTGTGGGCAAAGAGAGGACCTGGAGGGCTTTGATAGCTGGTGAAAGCCCCTCCTGACCCTCAGGAGATCTCTCACCGGAAAGTGACTTTCGAGTGACTTCGACATTCTCCAAAGCTTGAGTCGGCCAGGCGCAGCGGCTCTCCCCTGTAATTCCAGCACTTTGGGATTGCAGAGGAGGGAGGACTGCATGAACCCAGGAGTTGGAGGCTGCCGTGAGCTGTGATTGAGCCCCTGCACTCCAGCCTGGGCAACACAGCAAGACCCCATTTGGAAACAGAAAACAAGGAATGCTTAAGTCCTCAAGGAGAGGAGCAGGATCTTTGGCAAGTTGAAAGGCCTGGGCTCCACGGCCTCCTTGGTCTCTGCCACCCTGAGGTCTGTGCTCTCTGGGAAGCTGCTGTCATCAGAAGCTGAAGGGGCCTGGCTTGCGCAGGGCTGCCTCTTCCTGGAGCTGAGCAAGGGAGCCTGGCCCTGACCTCAGTCCCCACAATTTAACCTCCCTCGTGGTCGGTCTTCCAAGCAACATCCAAAAGGATATTTCTGGCGTGTTTTTCCTTTACAGCCACTTCCTGCGTATTAATGGCCTTATTGATGCTGACAGTCTGAAAAACAAGAAGGGGGAGGGGAAGGAGGATGAGATGAATCAGCCTCTGAGAGTGGCTGAGACCCTCCCAGTTGCCCGCCCCTTTCTACTCCTCCAGGGATCCTACCCCTGCCCCACGGGTGGTCGGTCCCTCTGCAGGCGCCCAGCTGGGGGCAGAGGTGGGGGCCAGCTGGCCGGGCTGTCCTGAGGGAGCGGGCACTGCTGCCTGGCATTGGCTGTGCCCAGCTGCTGCTCCTGCCTGCCACTCACTCCCTTGGCACAACACATGGCAATTAAAGCCCGCACAAAGAGATGCTTTTCAGCCCCCAGGGAAACATTAGTTCTCCCGGGAGCCGGAGGAAGAGGCGCAGAGATCAGGGAGCAACCAGGGAACCACCGTGGCCCAGGACCCCCCAGCTGCCTCTCTCTCCCCTCTAAACCTTACCCAGAGCCTTCCCCAGCTGGCCAGCACTGTCATGGCCACTAAGTCTTTGTTTTCACACACTCTTGGGCATTTTCCAACTCCTAAGCAAATTCCTTGTACTTCCTTAACGACATCAAAGGACATTAAACATTCCCTCTCAATCCTTTTTAAAGTAACTTTTATTCTTTTTTTTTTTTTTTTTTTTTTTTT